TCCGTACCATGTTTTTATAACATTATGGCCTTTTTCTTCTTGCTAGTTTTTACATGTCATCATGTACATATATAACCTAAAATCATAAAACCGATATGTTTAGAGCGGGGGACAATATGGAAATACCCAACATTTTTGTCGGACAATATTTTACTGACGCATAATTACGCCTAATTAAGCATTCCTGAAACTTCCAGCTTGCTGGTTATCACATAACCCAAAATCATGAAATCGACATGTTTAGAGCGGGGGACAATAAGGAAATACCCAACATTTTTGTCGCACAACATTTCACTGACGCATATTTACTCCTAATTGAGCATTCCTGAAACTTTCAGCTTGCTGGTTATCACATAACCAAATACCATAAAAAGAACATGTTCAGGGTGGGGGACAAGTGGAAATACCCATCATTTTTGTCAGAAAATGTTATACTGACACATTACTACACCTAGTTAAGCATTCCTAAAAGCATCAGCTTGCTGGTTATCACATAACTTAAAATCATGAAATCGACATCTTTCCCGCGGTGCTGAAGGAAAACCTCCCGCGGGCAAACTTTTTCCACGTAGAAAAGTTGTCCGACTTGTCACGCTTAAGCTATACACGAGCTTACAACTTGCTGGTAATCATTTTTTTTTTCTTATGGTGTATCAAGGACTATAATATATGACAGTACAGAATTTAAAGCTTTTTAAAGTGCATTGTGTGGTTGACTAAACCCTATTTATTGTTTTATTTTATTGACTTCATAAGGCTTTTTTCTAATTAAAAATGCCACAAAGGTGTCTTGTAGTTGATTTTAGAAGGCGTTTCAACAAGGATGATGTCAGGTTGTTTTCAGTGCCCAACCTTTCAAATTTTTCCAATCAAAACGTACAAATTATTCAGTACCACTGTTCCTGCATCTAAAATAAAGCTATACTCGAAATACTTGTAAGAATCTAAGCTTTTGTAGGCCTTTATTTGCTCATTGCTGTAAAAACTAGGTCAAAATGTAAACAAATGTCAGCTAGACATTTTTTCAAACTTATCGTTCGCCCAGATCCCGATTTTCCTGCATTATAGTCTTTGAATATTCACTCTGCATCTCAAAAAGTATATTATGTATAACAAAATAAACTGTAGTTAGCTCGAAAATATTCCAAATAATCTCAAGATGAACAAACAAACGTCAAATTTTCCTCAGTCGCCATATTGAAAAATCACGTGGTTTGGAGAGCCTAATTAGATTTGACAGAATGTGTGAATATCTGTAGAGCGTCGGAGTTAGCTGAACTTCAATCAAAAAAGCTAGAAATTGAGACAAATATCAATATTGTGAAGAAACCACAAAATCAGGACAATACAGAGAGTTTACTTCACAAAAACATCAATATGAAGCCAAAGTGGAAATAGCTTTAGAACAAACTCAAAAAATAGAGTTGATAAAAAACAGTGTGTATATTTTCATGGTCCAAGATGTCCCGCAAATAGAAGACAAGTTAAGTTTGGTCATTTTCAAAAGTACTGTCGTGAGAAAAAAAACATGACTCAAAATGTGTATTCAGTAGAAGCTGATGATGAAGAGCAGGAAATATATATATAGGCACAGTTTAGAAAGTAAGACAAGTAGGTTTAGTTGTTAGCTGGATGCAAAAAGTAATGGTCAATAATAAGGGAATTTGTTTCAAAATGGACACTGGTGCTGATGTTAATGTTTTGAACTTGAGAACTGCTAAAGAACTTAATGTTGAAGTTCAGTCATCCAATACAAAGCTATTGAATTATGAAGGCTCTTTAATGGGTGTTTATGGACAAACTACACTTATTTGTGAAACTAATAATAAAAAACACAATATATTGTTCATTGTAGTCAACTTTAATGCTCCATGCACAATTGGTCTCCCATTTATTGAGATGTTTAATCTGCTGAAGAGAGTAGGATCGGTAGAACAGGAAGACAAATATGTGATTGATAGTCTAGTAAAAAAATACAACCATATTTTTTAAGGCATTGGTAAACCGATAAATTCATATAAAATTCACTTGAAGAAAAAGGTAGAGCCAGTTTGTAGGATCTCCAAGAAAACTTGCAATCAGCCTTCAGCAGTCAGTTAAAAGTAAGTTAGATAAAATGGATTCTAATGGGCGTTTTGAGAATAATGACTGAACCAACTGAGTGGTGCAGTTCTATGGTAATTGTAAAAAAGCCAGACAATAGTCTTCGAATTTGTTTAGACCTACAAAGTCGTGAGTGGTATCAGCTTCCAACTTTTGAGGAAATTGCATTCAAGATGGAAGGGGCAAATATTTTTTCAATACTGGACGGCAATAAGGGCTTTTATCAGATCAAGTTGCATGAAGAAAGTGAAATACTTACAATATTTAATGCTGGATGTTATGGGCGATATTGTTATAAAAGAATACCTTATGGACTTTGCTTTGCACCGGAAGTTTTTCATCGTTGATTCAAGAATATTTTTGATGGACTTCCAGGAGGGGAAATTTACATAGATGATGTTATAGTCTGGGTAGCGAATAAAGAAGAACATGCCAAAAGACTGAAAGCAAACGTGCCAATGTTCGTTTCAATCGACTCAAGTGTAAATTCGGGTTAAGTGAAGTACGTAATATAGGTCATGTGTTAACAAGAATGGTTTACGTCCTGATAAAGACAAGGTGAGTGCTATTTTGCAATTAAACAATTTAGAAAACAACTACAGATTTTGTAAGGGGTGGTTACCTATGTATCTAAGTTTTTGCCCAATTTGGCGGATGTTACCAGCTCGATGAGACAACTGCTTAAGAAAGATGTAGAGTTTATTTGGTCTAATAAAGAAACATCTGATTAAGAAAACCTTAAAAAAATACTCACATGTGCACCCGTACTAAAATATTATGATGTCAATACAGAATAATTTGCCTATGCCTCTCAAGCATTGACTGCTACTCAGAAGGCATGGACTCAGATTGAGAAAGAAATATTGGCAATAGATAGATGTGAGAAATTCCACCAATATTTTTATGGAAAAGTAGTGATAGTTGAAATTGATCATAAGCCTTTGGAAAATAATATATTTAAAAATAAGTCATTGAATGGAAGGTATGTGGGTATTTTTAAAACAATGCTCAAAAAAGTGGAACATAGTAGACAAGATCCATATATCGTCTTGCTAGAATATAGAAATACCCCTATAGATTCTGACATAAATAAATCTCCAAGTGAAATTAGGTTTGGACGTAATGTGAAAATATATATAAGTAATGGCGAGGAAATTGTAAATAACAAAAAGGTTATTCAAAAACATTTAGAACTCAAGCAGGTTTTGAATAAACCTTATCGACATGAGAAATCATGCTAAACCCAATTTTTTAAATAAAGGGGAGGTAGTACGTATTAAGGATAATGTTCATGATATGACTGGAGCAAAAATAGTCAAGGAGGGTAATGCAGCACATTCTTACCAGGTTCAACTACCTACAGGCAATGTTGTGACGAGAAATAGACAGAAGTTTGAGGTGGTTGGATCTGGTTCAGATTCGCAAAGCACAGATGAGAAAAAGCAGAACTTGAACTTGATAGCCAATAATACTGGTCAATCTATAAAATTGAAAGAAATCATAAATCAGAATCTTGTCCGCTCAAGTTTAGGTTTCGACCAAACTGGAATTCTGCCAAAGGCTGGTATTTCTAGGTCTGATAGAATTATTAAAAAACCAGAAATTTTTAGAGATTATATTTCTTAAGAACTTTATAATCTATGGTGACAGATATAGTGACGGAATGAGTTCAGTTTAGCTTGAAATAAATCTTTGAAACTATATTTCGTTTATTCCAAATGTCCGAACCTTACACTAACCCACGTAAATTTTACGTACAGAGGTGTAGTTTTGTGAATCTGGCAGATGTGAAACGACTGGCATTTATGTGACAAAGGCGATGCCTGGTTCTACTGGAAGCACTCTTGAAATTTAAGCAGACTGAATCACATATTTGGGAAATGACAGCACATAAAACAAAAAGCACACGTAATATTTATATGGGTTAGTATTCTAGGGTTAAGTTTGTAACATTTTTCTTGAATTCTATTAACATTTCTCAATTCTTCTGATCCCCTTCCAAACTCCAAAAGCATCTCACGTTTTAAAATTTATTTTTACATGATCCTCATCGATTTTTGCCCCCTCAAAACATCCTTTCATTACTTTAAAAGGGCCGCTCACTGTTAGTAAATAATCAATCAGGTAATAATTAATCGCCCTTTCAACGTACAAGCTTGAATTTAATAATTTGTTTAGTCACCAACAAAATACAATTTCAATATTCGAAAAAGCAGCACTTTTATTCGATTTTCACGATATTTTAGTTTTCTTGAAATACGTTGAGGTACCTAAATAAATAAAATTGGCTTCTCTTTCTGAAGGGCATATTGAAGTAGGGCTTCGAATTTGCCTTTTAAATGGATTTTTTTTGCTCCTATATTATAAAATGGTCTTTTTGATATATAAATCTTACATATATCTTTCATAATTCATTGGGAAAATGAGCATGTTTTTATTCGTCACAATCTGTTGCTTCCAATTTTTATGCTTTACAAAGCTTTTCAAATGAAAAATTTTATGCTCAACCATGAAAACTAATATCTACAAGGAGGAGCCCTCTTTTATAGGCCGTAAACCTTAATGTGAACATTTTGTACTATGATATGGTCCCGTTTACCATAAAATGCTTGAGGGCTCTTTAACCCCACACATTAACGATTAATTTTTAAAAAAAAGGTTTTCCCGGAAATCAATTTATCCTTTTTAATAATTCATCATCATTGTCCGATTTAAATAATAAAAATCGATTCTTCCTAGCTTGTTAGATCTTTGAAAAATATCCTATTTTTATTCGAAAACATAAAAATTTTATTTCGTTGCAATGTACTTTAGAGCCCTTTGCGATAGCCGAAGGGTGAATATTTTATGGATGAAATCCGATAGGATTTTCAATAGTTTTTCTTTGAAATTTCCAGCACGGCTACGATTCGTTCAAGACGAAATTCGACGGCAACGAATTAACGGGAAGTCTCCGAGCCCAAATATACGCGACCGAAATATTTGTGAAGTTTTCCTTTGAGAAAAACCAAGAGAATCCGCACAAGACGAAACTGGAGAAAATCGAAACCAGATTGCTCAGGTAATGTTTTCCTAGATTTTAGTAAAGGTGGCAATGTCGCACAATCATTTTAGTCATGGGTGTTGTGTTTTTCCTTAGTTTTTGGATTTTTTTCCCCAACGTGGCACTGTCACATCATCATTATTTATCGTATAGGAACAAGATTCTTGAAGAAAGTATAATCATTAAAGGAGAAACTCATTGCTAAATATTTTTATACTCAGTGTTAACTGATGAGGATTTCAATTCGAGTGCTTTATTGCTTTCGGTGCACACTTTTTTTGACAATTGGCAGATAAACAATGCTTTAAACGTCAACTGTGCGCACTGAATACAACCAAATCAATTGAAATCGCTTGCCCCTGTGAATCGTAAAGAATTATTATGAAAATATCAATTTTTCCTCTCTATCAGACAAAAATGTTGCACATTCCCTTGAGGTCAATGGAAAATGTTCTTGTGAATCACAGAATTCTATGAAATAATCAACTCTTCTTTTTGCAGAAGGAAATTAATAAGAAATGTATCACTCTTTTCATAAAAATTCTTCCTTCATCAGACGGAAATGTTGCATATTTCTTCAAGTCAATGGATAATTAGAAATTTTCCAATTCTCTCTAGGAAAGTTTTCTTGTGAATCACAGAATTTCTATGAATTTATCAACTCTTTTTTTTGCAGTCGAAAATCAAAGACAAATGTATTACTGTGCTGTGATGCTGGAATTATGTTATTGTCGTATATATCTCCATTCGTAGCATTAAAGCATTCCAAATTTTCAATTTTTCTGAGTGCCTATTTTCATAGATTTCGGCTTCAAATCTGAAAATAAATTATTGTATGGAGTTTGGGGTATGTTGATTGACCATTAGGATACAAAATCTCGACAAAAAAAAAATTTGAAATTTCATCATTTTAGTAAGAAGGTACTCCCCTTGTGATTTTTTTTGAAAACTTTGAAAGGTCATAACTTTTTTTCTATTACAGATAGAAAGCTGAAACTTTCACTGAATTTTATCCTCATTAAGGGACTACAATCCCTGAAAATTTCAGCTCATTGGCACTTATAGTTCCTGAGATAAAAGCCTGTTAAGCAATTTGGGGTGATTTATCAATTTTTCAATTTTTCTGAGTGCCTTTTTTCATAGTTTTCGCCTTCAAATCTGAAAATAAATTATTGTATGGAGTTTGGGATATGTTAATCGACCATTAGGATACAAAATCTCGACAAAAAAAATTTGAAATTTCATCATTTTAGTAAGAAGGTACTCCCCTTGTGATTTTTTTTGAAAACTTTGAAAGGTCATAACTTTTTTTCTATTACAGATAGAAAGCTGAAACTTTCACTGAATTTTATCCTCATTAAGGGACTACAATCCCTGAAAATTTCAGCTCATTGGCACTTATAGTTCCTGAGATAAAAGCCTGTTAAGCAATTTGGGGTGATTTATCAATTTTTCAATTTTTCTGAGTGCCTTTTTTCATAGTTTTCGCCTTCAAATCTGAAAATAAATTATTGTATGGAGTTTGGGATATGTTAATCGACCATTAGGATACAAAATCTCGACAAAAAAAATTTGAAATTTCATCATTTTAGTAAGAAGGTACTCCCCTTGTGATTTTTTTTGAAAACTTTGAAAGGTCATAACTTTTTTTCTATTACAGATAGAAAGCTGAAACTTTCACTGAATTTTATCCTCATTAAGGGACTACAATCCCTGAAAATTTCAGCTCATTGGCACTTATAGTTCCTGAGATAAAAGCCTGTTAAGCAATTTGGGGTGATTTATCAATTTTTCAATTTTTCTGAGTGCCTTTTTTCATAGTTTTCGCCTTCAAATCTGAAAATAAATTATTGTATGGAGTTTGGGATATGTTAATCGACCATTAGGATACAAAATCTCGACAAAAAAAATTTGAAATTTCATCGTTTTAGTAAGAAGGTACCTACCTACCTACCTTATGATTTTTTTGGAAAACTTTGAAAGGTTATAATTTTTTTTCTATTATAGATAGAAAGCTGAATCTTTCACTAAATTTTATCTTTTTCAAAGGACTACAATCCCTGAAAATTTCAGCTCATTTGCACTTATAGTTCCTGAGATATAATCGTGGTAAACAATTTGGGGTGATTTATCAAATTTTCAATTTTTCTGAGTGCCTATTTTCATAGATTTCGGCTTCAAATCTGAAAATAAATTATTGTAAGCAGTTTGGGATATGTTTATTAACCATTAGGATTAGAGATACCACGAATAGTGATTTGGCCGAATACCGAATATTCGGCCACGCTCTCGTTTGTAGGGCCGAATATTCTGTCGGCGGCAGATTTGTGCGTTAACAAAAGGTCAGGACCTGTCTCATTCTCATCGCGTCGCCTCCAGTAACGACGGAATTTGGTTCACTTGAAAATATATCGTCTCACAATACGCATTATTAGTAGGACTGTAAAAGTAACGAAAATTCTAATACTCGTACGTATTCGTTACTTTTGATACCAATATTCGTTACTAAATATTCGTTACTCGTTACTTTGTTACTCTGGTATTCAGAGGATAGGAAAGATACCTACTTAGAGAAAGAGTATAAAAGTGACTCATTCGCCATTTGCATTTGTTCCGAATATCGAATAAGTATTGCTGGGATTCGTATTTTTAATATTTGACAATAATAAATATACCCAAACACTTGTTTAAAAATATTTAAAAATTTGTTTATAGAATTTATATGAAAAATCTCTGGTAAATGTCCAAAAAACCAAAAAATTCCGTAGAAATGCGACTGATGCAAGTAACGAAAGGCGGCCGACAGTAACGAATCCGTAATTCAAATCCGAGAGAATACTCGTTACTCGGTAACGAATACATACGGTTTGTCACAGCCCTAATTATTAGCTATATTCTTTTGATCGCACGTTATTACTTATACTACTGTTTATCTTTAGCCAAAACTTATCAAAATGGCACCATTAATTAATAAAAAGTCGCCTATTTGATAGATTTTAAGTATTAGATTCATTATGACTTGTTATTAAATAGATTCATTTTTGAATAATATGTGCGTTTTTTTCATTATTCAGCTTTCGGTATTCGGTCAAATATTCGGCCGGATAATATGTACCTACTATTCGGCCGAATACCGAATACATTAAAAATGGCCGAATAGGCCGAATATCGAATAGTAGCCGAATATTCGTGGCATCTCTAATTAGGATACAAAATCTTGACAAAAAAGAAATTTGAAATTTCATCGTTTTAGTAAGAATGTACCCCCCTTATGATTTTTTTGGAAAACTTTCAAAAGGTCATATTTTTTTTTCTATTATAGATAGAAAGCTGAATCTTTCACTGAATTTTATCTTTTTCAAAGGACTACAATCCCTGAAAATTTCAGCTCATTTGCACTTATAGTTTCTGAGATAAAATCGTGGTAAGCAATTTGGGGTGATTTATCAAATTTTCAATTTTTCTGAGTGCCTTTTTTCATAGATTTCGGTTTCAATTCTGAGAATAACTTGATGTGTGGAGTTTAGGGGATCCCTAATGACCATTGGGACACAAAATCTCAACAAAAAAAAATTTGAAATTTCATCGTTTTAGTAAAAAGGTACCCCCCCCTCTTATTATTATGATTTAGATTTTGGAAAACTTTGAAAGATTATAACTTTTTTTCTATTATAGATAAAAAGCTGAATCTTTCACTGAATTTTATCTTTTTCAAAGGACTACTATCCCTAAAAATTTCAGCACATTTGCACTTATAGTTCCTGAGATAAAATCGTGTTAAGCAATTTGGGATGATTTATTATTTTTCAATTTTTCCGAGTGCCTTTTTTCATAGAATCTGGCTCCATAAGGGAAATAGTAGGTAATCAATTTACACTAATGAAAAATGTTTCATAAAATTTCGTGTTTTTTTGAGTTTGAAGCTCCATTAATGAAAAATATTTTATTCGCCAGTACAATTTACCCAATTCCTTCCTAGTAGAGATTATCCTGGACTGAAATAATCGCATTTTGCATAAAACTGATTAGCCAATTTTTCCAGCTAAAGCTGACTTTTCTCTCATTTTCAACCCGGCTATATAAGCTGGATCCGCGAAATTTAATTACAAAAGAGTTTTTTTATGCAAACTGATTTAAATTTTAAAACATTTCATGTATATAGTTTTCGGAGAAAGAGAGGGATCGAAACAATTCCACACTCATCTTGCTAAAAGCTTCTTTTAACATAAATCAATTTCCTTAATCAGTTTTTCTTCAAGCCCAAAGTTTTTCTCAGACAACGAAAATAGTCTGCGACATTTTCTAGTTTTTATAGGTGAGAAAACTTCTGATAGAGTTAACGTTTGTATTTTTGCTGGCATTTTGTGTATTTAGCTTAAGACATTTATACTTACCAGGAGTTTTGAAAAAAAAACGATTTTAATTTTAGCGACATCGAAACGGATAGTTCCGGTTTGGGTTCGTTAAGTTGGCTAATACCGAAAACTCAGTCATGGGTGATGGGCTATTTGCGTTCTACAGCCATGGGTGTTCTTTTGAAAACCATTGGAGAGGCCTTTAATCACGTGATCGAAGAGGAATTGAGGAAAACTCAAAAAAACGACATCGAAGGCGAAAAGAGCCGGTTGTTTTGGAGGAGCATATTCAGCAAATAAAAAATGATTATTATTCTATTTTTTTTTTTTTATTAATTAAAATATTTACTTTTAATTTAGGTAAGACCTTCAATGCAATTTAATTTTAGCAAAAATGATTGAAAACTTCAAACAAATCGCACTTGAAAACTCGTCCATACAAATTCAGTCCCCCTTTATCTTTACGGGAAAATTGACTTATTTTGCGGCGTAGCATCCTCGTGTGCTTTTTTAACAACCTCTATTGTGAAGCACATTTAAAACGCTGAATTTTTCTATAGCTATAGGCGTCACCTAATATAAATTAACGGCTTCTATGGAAGAAATTTATGCGTTTTTCGGAGGGTTCGTGTATAAAGTTCCCGAAAGCGAATTTGTTTAGGGAATTCGGGAACGAGTTTTCTTCACTTGAGGGAGTTGATTATAAAATTCCTCTCATTTTAGATGCCGATGATAGAATGTTTGTTAAAATTATTTATACTTTTCATTCATAGAGTCCACCTCTATCAAGTGTATAGTTATACTGTTGCAGCAAGGGCCGTTACTACTTCTAAAAATACTTTTTATTTTACAAAAAACAATGTGACATCTCTAATAATCAGTGGCGGCTCGTGACTATTTCAACTGAGGAGGCTAAAAAATAATGAATTACGGTTAGGTAACCACTGCGCAGCAGGCAAAATTTGTTTTGGGGTGTCCATGCCCTCAATAATTTATCTCAAATTCAATAAAAACCATGAATACTCGAGTAAATGTTCCTTTTCTTCATGTAAGTATATATTTTCAGAGTTAATTTTGACGAAAAATAAAAAATAAAAAATATAAGGAAAGCACAAATTGATAATTATGATTAATTACGATAATAATTATGCACAATTGCACAATAATTTACAATGCAAAAAAATATCAATCAACTATAATTCTACAACTTCCGACTAGGAAAGTAACATGGAACTTTTAATGCATAAAACAGAGATAAAAAAAGCATGGATGGCAGTTTTCAGCTATGCGTGCGGCTAGCCGCTCTTGGAGACTATGGTCGCTGAACGCCAGTAGTGGTTCGATATGTTTCCGGCATTTCTATTGGACGCTCAGATTCGCGGTCCATTTGAATGCTAGATTTCAGGGGGCCAATTCTTGAAAGTGGTGAAAATATTCACCCGGTGAATAATTTCACCACCTAATTTTCACCTTCCTCACTCGTTTTGTATTCTTGAGTCGTGGGTGAATTTACTTGAGGTGAATATAAAATAACACTTTGGCAACGTCGGAATATAGCTTCATTTTTAGGAGGAAAATTGAAAACGCCTACAATCATAGAAAAGTGATTTATATTCTTAAATAGAACATTCACTGGTTTCATCCCCTCCACTTTTTGTTTTGGTTCGTGACTACACCGCTGTGCGCCCATATCGCCGTTTCTTAACGTCCCCGTCGTTTTTATTCTAATCTGTGACTTCACCGATGAGTTAGCTATCTTTGTTTAGTGAATAGAAAATGACAATGACGGACATAGAATGGTGGATATAAAAACCAGAGGTCCATTTAACATCATAATTGCAGTCAACCTTGCCGGATTACCTGTAGAAGGTATTTGAATGGTACCAGCGACAGCCAGAGAACGTCAATAGTTATTGTCAGAGAGACTTGTCATGATGTTAATCAATTACTGTTCATTTTTAATATAAATAGTTCTTCGAATAACCGTATTCTAAATATAGACTACATCAGAAGTGGTCAAGAATCCCTAAGCCCCACGTAAGGAACACTTTCTGGCGTTTGATTTGAAGTTTCCATGCCAAGATGTCAAAAACTAAGAAACGAAGTAGGAAAAGCAGTACTAGTAGCTCCAGTTCAACAACCGAGTCATCAGGAACTGATAATGAGTATGTTAGAAATCGCCGTAGTCGCTCAAATGCAAAAATAAAAAAGCCCCGTAAATCTAATGAAAAAAGTTATACACCTCCTGTGAATTCGGTGAGTACCAGCCAATTGTCATTACCAATGTCTAATGTCAGTTTTAGAAACGTGGAGATTGTTAATTTTATTCCTGAATTTGATCCATTATGTGGCCAGGTAGATCAATGGCTTGAAATTATAGATCATAATGCAAAAAATTATGCTTGGAATGATAATTTTACAATTTTTCAAGCGCTTTCAAAGTTACGAGGTACTGCATACACCTGGTATACCAGTTTTATAGAGAATGAACCAGCTTGGTCGAATTTTCAATGTTGTAAGTGGACATAGTTATTTATGATATAAGTGTTAAAAGTACATTTTTAAGGCACGCATGTGAAAGTTTGCAGAATGAGCGAAGCGAATTCTGCAATTCACATAAGTGCCTTAAAAATACTTTTAACACAAATATCATACAATATTTTTTCTACAAATGGCAATAACAAGCAATAACCAGTGACAAATTGGATTTTTAAATGAATAATAAATTGGAAGCATCTTTCCTACGTAAAATTATTGAATTTGATATTTGTCAAAAAATTCAAACAACCAGCACCTTGTTTTACAGGTAATGAAATGTCTCGTCAGTTTCTTGAAAGTCTGTCGTATGGTCTATCGTGGTCAGTAAGCTTTTTGCTAAAAATGCAACAAAATACACAAGAAAAAGAGGGTTGCATCAATCCCTTGAAAAATATAGAGGAGGCGGCCGATGGAGCTTCCTCAGTTGTTCAAATTTTACCATTAATATTAATGTAAATAATTAAAAATACAAACTTTTTTTGACGTTTGCTTTCAAATTTTGATGTTTCATTTTTAACCCTAGTGCCTTAAAGACTTTTTAACACTAGTGCAATAAAGTAACATTTTTAATGCTTCTAGGGGGTGTTAAAAATTGCATTTTTAACACGTTTGTAGAAAAAAATTATTAAACGAAACTTTTCAAAGTTGTCGAAATACATAATAGCTTTATTAACTTTATTGCACAGATAATAATACTATTTTTTTCACAACAAAACAATAGCCCGTAAATAAAACAAAGTTGCTAAGCAATAATCGGTACGGCCAGCTATTGACTTTTATTTTTTTTGCCGTGACAGCAGGGCTCGATGACATCAGGGGGCGGATTACGAACTCTCGATTCGAACCGAAACCGCCATAGATTTCGAACGCACTCCATGCAAAAGTATCAGAATGCGTTCGAAATCCATGGCGGTTTCGGTTCGAATCGAGAGTTCGTAATCCGCCCCCAGGGCTCGGCTATCCTTTAAGACACCTGAGGTGTTTTCGGTTAGTTAGGTAATTTCGGTTAGTTAGGTGATTTCGGTTAGGTTAGGTGATTTCGATTTTCCTGTATGCTAACACGGCCATCCTGTGAGGAAGCGTCCACGCGACTTGTTTATTGTTTCTTTACTTTCTTTATACCTAAAAAGAAATAAAGCAGCAGTATTTTTCATAACAAACAGACTCATGTTAATTAGTAACGTAAGTTATTGCAGATTCAAATGGTATTGCCAATAATCCTTCAAATGAAACTTGGTGGGATTGCCAACCATTTCAACAGACATTGATAGGATAGAAACACCAGTAATAATCAATAATAATTGTTCCAACCATGGTGAGAAGCTAGTGGGAATGCCACTTTTTCAATTAATTTTGGAGGGATTGACACCATTTATTTCAGTAGACCAGTGGGATTGCCACTAAATATTATCGTTTTTGGTGGGATTGCCACCATCTTTTTCGATGGACTAGTGGGATCGCCACTAAATATTATGTCAAGTATTTTTGGTGGGATTGCCAACCATCTTCTAAAGTTTAGTGGGATTGCCACTAATTATTATTTCAAGTACTTTTGGTGGGATTGCCACCTTTACACTAAATATGGAGAATGGAGTATTAAAGTAAGCTTTTCAGATATTGATGGGATCGCCACCAAAACACAATTAGTTTTGAATAGGTACTTAGGAACTTAATAGGTAATGTAGGATTGCTACTCACCTTTTTATAATTACTGCGATGACCATGGCCTTAATTGGTCATGTGCGGCTACCGTCGTTCGTTGTCCCTTTTTGTGTAGTTGATATCTTTGATGAGGTAAGATCTTTTGAATAGTGTAAGGACCCTTGTATCTTGGCTTCAGTTTTCCTCCACCAGCGAATTGTGAATCTTCAATGGCTACGACATCACCTGGCTTAAACAAGGTGGCCCGACGCCGGGTTTCATTAAATCGTTGAGCTTGACGGTCACCAATTTTTTTCACACGTTGTTGTGCTATTACGATGGCTTCTTGGGTTTGTGCCAAAATGCAACACAGCAGGTGAGTAGCCAGTTACCGAGTGAACCGTAACATTCAAATTGTCCTCGATGGCTGGTAGGGCAATCGTCCAATCAATTTCTTTTTCGTGAGTCAGAGTAGCTCGCAACAGATTAAACATGGTTCGCATGAGGCGTTCTACCTGGGCATTGCCTCTGGGTACACCAGTTGCAATATGATGTAATTCAACTTTCTGTTCACTCATGAAGTTTTGAAATATAGTGGAAGTAAAAGCAGCGGCCCTATCCGCCACTATCCGTTTGGGCCTGCCCAATTCTTCAAAAACCGGCAACAGCGCCTGAATAGAGCATTCAGATGTTTTCCTCGGAATTGGCTGGAGTCTACATAGTTTTGAGAAGGCATCAATCATGACAAGGATTTGCGTGCATCCATTGGAGTTCGCCAATGGGCCAGCATTATCTATATGGCAGCTTTCTAAGATAGCATCTGGTTTTTCCCCTTGCTGGCAAAATCCACGTCGGGGTCCTGTATGTGATTTTCCCAATGTGCAAGCTCTACAATGGTTGATGTACTTTTTAAGGCATTTACCCATTTTCGGCCAATATAAATCTTCACGTATTTTCTGAATACACTTGTCCCATCCGAGATGTGACGACTCATCGTGGTAAAGAGTCATAGTAAGCAATCGCGCTGCAACGGGCACAAAATATTTTTGAGGTTTTGTTTTGGTTACGATCATGTTCTTCTCAACAGTAAGGTCAGGGTCACAGTCCGGATTATCAAATATTTGTTTACAAAAAGTATCACT